GGGCGGCGGACGGCGGGGCCGGACGGCGGACGGCGGGCGGCGGGCGCGGAGCGGTAAAAGTAAGAACCCCACACAAAGATGTGGGGAAATACATCCAGTGAAAACGGACAGAATCCGCATGGTTGCCCTGCATCTGAGTGGCATATACTCGATGATTGGCGTAGCCATCAAACACCTCAGAGAGTTTGTACGCTCAACCCCGGGACTGCCTGGCCAGCACCACGGCAGAACTGTCCCAAAAACAACAAACCTTTCAGTGTTGAGCCCATAGTTGCAGTGGCCCTGCCCACAAAAATCAAAAATCCGCTTCGCCAGCATTGCTGCAAGGCACAACCTTCCCGCCACTCTTCTCGATCCTTTCTCGTTCCCCCTGGCAAGCACATGAACATCGACCATGCTGCTCTGTCACCATTGCACATCTTGCATCCAGCCTTCAAATTTGGCTTGTGGTCTCGTGTCACCGCAGTGCCCTCCCACTTTCCACCTCAGACGTAGCGCATGCAGCACAATAATACAAGCCTGCGCAAGTGACCAATGACGGGGCCTACGTTGCTGCCAACCGCAGCAGTGCTATCAGCCTGGTGCCCACGCACACACCCCACTCCTGCCAAGCCATGCCGCTACTGCAACCAGGCCGAGCAGCCACATGAGCAATGGTGAGCTTGTCACGGAGGTGGTCCTTAGCCCGAGCAACCGACACGCTTGGAGCCTTGAGCCTGGGCAAAAAAGTGCATAGGACACGTTACAGGGTTGGCTTGACATATGCCACGTGTCAATGAAACAGACCGTCGCCGTTGTGCCGGACATCTGTGCGTTCAGCACCTTCTGCTTGTCAGCCGCAACTACCTAGCGACACGTCATTTGCACAATCTGCATCCGCAAGTCTCTCCGTTTCTAATGGGGTCAAGCGTCAAGTCTCTGAACCCTTTTGAAGGCGTCCACCAGGCACCCGCCGATCTCCGGAGATTTCGACCTCACGCCACCCCGGCCACAGCATTCCCAGCAAAAAGGCACCGGGTGCGCGCACCTAGGGTCCAAGAGGATCAACTTTGGAAGCCTCTCCTGGCACATGCCGAGTGGGCCGAACCTTTGCAGCCGGCCCGGCCTTTACAAACTCAGAGATGTCGTGGCCTTTCTGCCCATGGCCATCGAAAACTGCGAAGATGGAAAATGTGTCCTGCCAAGGTTTACCATCGCACTGCACCGCACTTCCAGGTTTGGGTCTGGATCTTGCGTGCCAAGGCAAGCTGGGTCCATCTTCAAGCAGCACCAGGAGTCTTGATTTGGACTTTCTGGCTTCAAGCCTTGCGCTGTGCGCTGGCTCTAACTTGATCCACTCCTTTCCGCTGACGGGCCTTTCCGGCAGGTGAAAGCAACTCCTTTTGCGGATAGGTCCAGTGTGTCACCCACCACTTTCTGAGACCTTGGCTTGGCCAGTCTTTTCCTTTGCGCTCGTTTGAGAGAATTGAGAGAAATGAGAGAAATGAGAGAGATGCGAGAAATGCAAGACTCAAAACAGATCAAAACACAATTAACGATGCAAAAGAAGACCATGCGATGCCAAGGGTCTTTTGGCAAAAGGATGTCATTCCACCAGGCCCAGCTTCCTCAAGGCACCGCGCGCCCGCGAGCCCGCGAGCTCGCGAGCTCCAGAACTGAGAACCCAGCTGTGGTGGAGCCCATGAAGGTCTTGGGGCCGCCTACTTTCACGTCACTCGCGATGTCGATCTCAGTTGAGATCGAAAGCGTCGCAACTCTCAACGGATGCGACTCGCGTCGCCACTCGGCCACTCGCAGCTCTCCCCGCCCCTGTGGGCGACACCACTGACTTACGGTCCAGCAAGGCGAGAAGCTCATCTCAGAGAAAAGCTCAAAGGCTTGGACAAACCCTTTGACACCAGCAATAAAAAAAGAGTACACCTGTGTGCAGCCAAGTTGCCGTCTACTGAGCTGCCATCTGCATTTAAATGTGCTCCAGACTTGTCAACCTTTCCCAGACAGCGCATGCCACACCCAGCCGACAGCCATTGCCAAAGGAATCCGAGCTGCATGTGCTACACTCAGGCGACGCCTTTCTTTTGGCACCTGCTGATCCCGACATTGCAGGGAGCTCCAAGGCTCCAGGCCTGGGCCGTGCCTTGACTTTGGCATTCGAAGCACAGCAGCCCATGGCTTCGGCCTCGGCTCCGTCGGCTCCGTCGGCTCAGTCCCTAAGCCGGCAAACCCCATCCCGGCCTTCGGCCTGACGTGCGTGGCTCTGGCTCTAAGCCTATTTTTGCCGGGCCCGGGGCCAACGCGCGAAAGTTGGAAAGGACATGAAACGCGAGATCTCAATTCGGGCGCTGAGTACGCCTTTTTTTTTGGGTCACTGCGCGAGGCTCCGCACTCTCAATTCTGAGAGTCTGTGTTTGGCCTGTCTGCCCACGCCAACGCACACAGGTTGTGACGCTGGCTTTACGCACCTCTTCTGGCAAAAGCGTATCGATGTCCAGCATCTGAAAACCTGCGCTCGAACGATGCATCCAAATGCCTGTGGCCCAGCAAAAGTTCAAGCACCAGCAATACACGCGTACAAATTGGTTGTGTAGCCCTTGGGCAATGCCAGCCTTGTGCTTCGGAAAGCCATCTCGCTGATTCCTCCTTCCTAAGCAGCTTGCAACATTGCGCATGCTGAACGCGTGCTGAGCCGTTGGCCGAGCTTGGGCGGCCAGCTCCTGCACGCTGCAAGCGTTCAGCATGGTGGGGCCAGAGCTGAGGGCCTCCACACTCGCCGGGCCCCCAAGTCTGGGCAATCTAAACGTCGTCCGGAAGTGCCCGTCCTCGCCAGAGCGTCTGATTGCGGCATCAAAGAGCCCCGAGCCCTCTATGACAATCAATGTGCATCACTCCCATCAGTTCGAGTGACCACTTCAGCCACTATGGCTGGGTTTCAAAAGGGGAAACAGCCATACTGTCACCACATGACCACAGCGTTGCAAGGGACGCGTAAGGCAGTGTCTTCTTGGGGCAGAGGACATGAATCCCCATCTAAATGATGTGTCAAATTCCTACCAATGAAGGCATCCGACTGCCTGCCTCGCCCTTCGCGAAACACGGGTTCCCCTTTTGGCGGCCCAAACAGCTCTTAACCATGACAAGCGAGCACGCACTTCACCCTCAGCGTCTCAAGCGCTTGCCCTCCAAAAGGCGCATTGCACTCAAATGCACTCAATACTCGCACAACATGCCATGAAGATGCATATACACGCACAGCGCACTGGCGCACTGGCACTGCGCAGTGCGGGGTGCTGAGTGCAGCCAAGGCTCGGCATCAACTACCTCACCGACTGGGCCCAAGGCCACAGAGGCCCATGCTCCACCCACAAGCTCCTGCAGCTGGTTTGCTGGTTTGCTGGTTTGCTGGTTTGCTGGTTTGCTCCTCAGCTTGGCGGTCCTCCTGGTACACTCTCCAGTCTGCGCGGGGCCAGTGGTCTATGTGTACGTCCACCTTCCTTGTGCGAGCCTCGGCATGCCAAAGGCGAGAGCAAGCCAAACGCGGCTGAAGGCACTGACCCGGTGCCTGGGCTCCTTGCCTGACAAGTGCGATATCTTGCGATGCCCAAGCCAAACTCGACTGCTGCCAAGCCTTCAGCTGGGGAGAAACTCATCCGACCTGACAAACAAGATGAAGTTGAATACGCGGTGCCTTCCGCTGCAGCCTCTCTTTGCCTCCCTTTCGTCTGACCTGGAAAGAGTGGAAACAAATCGATTCCACATCCCGGTTTCCCGGCAACAGCAGGCATGCGGCATGCCCCCAAGGGCCTCGACAAACCGATGGCAGACAGCACGAAGCCGCCAAGACCCTCCTCCTGTGGCAAGTCTGGAAGGGTCACCTGCAAAGCATCCGTCAGCTGAGGCATGGCAAGCATGCGCTCAGCATGGACCAATGCCTCCATCCGCTCGAGCCCAAAGGATAAGCCTTGACCAATAGCCTGGCATCGCTCAAGCCTGCTCCGTGCGTCACCCGCTGGCAACTCAAGCGGATCAAATGATCTTTGGAGACAACACATTACGGTAGAGACGCTTTGATCTTGCAATATCTTAATTGCAATAAGGGCCTCTGCAATAGTTGACTCTTTGGCATGGCATGCTCTTTGTACGAAAAGGCAGTACATGCGAGCTTGCTTGTGCCTTGGCCACTGCCTCCTTTGCTGACCAAATGCGCTGGAAGATTGCCTGTCGTCAACACGAGTAGAGTTGGACGGGGCCCTGACCCCGCCGGACTCCATGAAACCATGAAAATTGAACAACTTTCGGATTTGAGGCCCTGGGCCCCAGACATACCTCTCCTGGTGGCTTGAGCCGGAATTGATGGTTTCCCTCTCCGACTCCGTCAGCACCATGGAGAGATCCTCGCAAGTAGTGAAGTAGCGAGCAGCGTCCGACTTCTGAGCTCCATCTGGCGCCTGGAACCACGTCTCGTCTTCGCGGTCGCCCCGCTCCACTTGCGGCGCTGAAACATCGACGCCTCCGCGCTCGGCAGATGCGATGCTCCGCGCGACTCTGAGGCGTGCGCCTACCAAATGAAGGCTGTCACTCGCCAACACGACCCAATTGCCGTCGTGCGACACATTGAAGTTGAAATTCCTCGTGAGCAACTGAACTGCAAAAGGCCTTAAGTGACGTGCCACATGTGAGCCAAACTGCGGCAGATTGCTGGCCAGCGGAAAGTGCAAGAAGGGCTTTTTGCCCCTGGTGCCTTAGCGGTGTGTTTTTGGACAACTCTCGAAGCCCTCTGATCGCACCAGAGGATAACCCTGCCAAATTGCGGCTGATCTGGATCTGCTCAAAGTCGGGATCGCCAATTGCCTATCGGCTGACATTAACTAGACTCACCCCCCCCACCCCCAAAAAATACATAAAATGGCACTTCTAACATCAAACCCAAAAAATCAAACAGCATACAACAAAATCAGCAAAATTCACAGAAAACAAGATAAGAACCACCAAGCAACTCAAAAACCAGAACAACCCCCAACAAAATATTTAATCAAAGCATAAAACATTAAATAATTCAAACAAGCATACCAACAAAAAAGCAAAAATAAAAACCATCAAAGAACACAAACTCAAAAACACACATCAACAAAAACAAAGCAACATACCAACAAAAAATATCAGAAGAGTATCAAACAAAATAAAATACAAACAGCCAAAGCACGAAAAAAACAAAAGAGCATGCCAAGTTCAAACAACGCACTTTGAAAGAGACAAGCAAATCAAGAAAAATAAAATATTTCAATCTTTACAAACCATAAGTACAGTATAATTATAACATATAAGATTTTACATGTTATTATTATATTATGATTATAATTTCAGTACAGGATAATAATTTAATTGACAAATCTTTCTTCTTTCATACATCATTTTAAAAATAATATTAATATCTCTCAATGTATTTTGAATATTAAACTTTTTACTTTCAATAAATAATTTGATATTTTCTTTAACATCTTCTCCTTTATCTTGACTATATAACACAACAACCATAATATATCATCCATCATTTCATATTTTTCTTACTAATTTTAAGAAACTGTTTAACATAATCATAAGGTGGTATTTTATTTACAGTTAGAAATATTAAAATATAATCTTCTACATTTCTATGTCGAATTCTTTTTATTCCCAACAGACATCTGATTAATTCTTGATAATATCTCCAATTTCTACAAATTTTACATAAATCTTCTTCATCCATTGAATAATTAATAATATTATTCACTATTTCATTAGGTAAATTTAATTTATACAATTCCATATTTTCTTTTTTGAAGTGACAGCAATCATAGCATTTTTTATTGATATAATTATTGATTTTATCACCATTCATTTTCCTCTTATTATATTAAGGCACTATTTCTTTAAGTCATTTTTAAGGCATTAAGTAAAATTAAGAAACAAACCATAAGTTCAATATAATTATAACATATAAGATTTTACATGTTATTATTATAGTATGGTTTTAATCAAAGTCATTAGTATTTAAATATTTCTTTGTAATCTTTGGTATTTGTTTAAAGTTCTTTTTATTATTTTTAAATGGATATTTTCTATCGGCAAAATCATAAATGCAAAAATCTATGCCCCAGTTTCCTAAAACACTTTTAATATCATTTATCACATCACCATACATTAATTTACCTATTATATTGTTCTTCTGTTCATCCTTAATATAATCACATATTTTATCAATTATGATTTTCAATTCTTGGTTTCTTTGTATTAAATCTTTAAGTATATTTTTCTAAAAAGTCACTTAAAGAAATAAACACATTAAATTTATATAGTATAGTATTATGAAACATGTTATAGATTATCTGTTGAATAATGATAAAGCGGAAATTCCAAAAAGAGGAAACAAGGAATTAAAATCAATAATTATAGATGGTAGAAAATTTAGATACAACAAAGAAAAACCCATCTCAAATGTTTTGAACAAGAAATTAAAATCAGAAGCAAGAACTAATGAGTATAATAGTTATGCAACAAAAACATTGCGCTCAACATACCTAAAACAAAGAATGAAAAATGCAATGACAAAATATGCAATCAAAAACAAATTCAGAATAACAGACCAACAATCAGCTTTCAAAAGTTATGCTAATTCTATAAAACTAGTAAATAAACATTTTCAAGGTGAAAAGGCACTATCAATGATACACCACCAAAAAGATAGACTTTTGACCTTTTTGAAAACTAATAGAGCAATGAAACTGAATATAAGGGCAGAAGGTTTATTTTATCATTATTATGATGATGATGGAGTAATAAAACATACAGAGATACTTTATAATTTACCTGCAACAAGGGCAAACATATATAATGAAACCGATTTGGATGAAGCAATTGAAAAATCAATCAAAGAGATTTTATTGAACATAGAGAAACTAGAAGGTTCAGCATCTAATTTACAATTTAAAAAATATTATCAATAACAATCCATTATGACAAATATGACCCAACTAGGGCGGGTAGTTATATAGATTTACCAGAATGGATTAAACTAAAAAAGGCATGTATTAATATCAAAAACAAAGATAACAAATGTTTTAAATATAGTGTTCAAAGTGTAGTGTTTGATATAATTAATAAATCAAATTCCCAAGAAATGTTCCATTACAACAAATTAAATGACAATATCTTAAACTGGGAAGGTGTTAAATTTCCAACTGGTAATAAAGATATTGAAAGGTTTGAAGAAAATAATAGTAAGTTAGTTTCAATCAATGTTTATGAAATTGATGATACTTTGAATGAAAAGAAAATTATAATTGATTACAGAACTAAAACAAGAGATGCTAAACATCAAATAAACCTTTTGAAAATTGAAATCAATAATAATAATCATTATGTAGTTATTAAAAGTCTAAGTCGTTTAATGAACTGGCAAACAAACAAAAATGACCAACCAAAACATTATTGTCATTATTGTTCTCATGCCTTTACTAGAAAGGATTTATTAACAAAACATTATGAAACTGGTTGTATGGCAACACATGGACAACAGTTTAAATTACCAAAAGAAGGTAGTTATATTGAATTTGAAAAATACAATACAAAATTAAAATGTCCATTTGTTGTTTATGGAGATTTTGAGTGTATAACTGTAAATTCAAATAATGGCATCAAGGGCACGTATCAGGAACATAAAACATGCGGTTATATGTTGAATGTTGTAAATTCTATTGATAATACAAGTCAACCTTTTTTATACCGTGGAGAGGATTGTTTAGACCACTTTGTAAATGAATTAAGAGAAATTAAAAAAGATATTTTTGATAAAATGAATGTTAATAAACCAATGGATATTACAGATGAACAAGAAGCAGAATTTAGAAAAGCTACTGTATGTTCAATATGTAATAAGAATTTTAAACCAGAAGATACAGTCAGAGACGCCTCGCCAGAGGCTCACGAGACTACCCTTTCTTCGAAAGGAAGAAAGGTTCGTGACCACTGTCATTTTACTGGTGAGTATAGAGGTTGTGCTCACGAAAAATGTAATTTGGATTATTCATTTAGATATTTCAAGATACCAGTATTTTTTCATAATTTAAAAAACTATGACTCTCACTTAATAATAGGCAAAGCAAATGAAATAAATAAGGAATTGAACGAAAATAAGAGAATAGATGTAATAGCACAAAATAGCGAAAAGTTTATTACATTTTCATTTGGTTCATTACAGTTTAAAGATAGCATGGCTTTTCTCTCAGCATCTTTGGATAAATTAGTTAAGTTAAATAAATATGACATAGTAGGTAAAGATGAACATGATAAACCTATATATAAAAAGCGGAATGACTGGAAGGATAATTTCCGATTTTCATCAGCAAATCCATATATTAGAAATAAAACCGATTTAGACTTATTAACTGAAAAAGGAGTTTATCCTTACGACTACATGAATTCATTTGATAAATTCAATGAATCGCAATTACCGAATATAGAAGACTTTTACAGTAAATTATATGAAGAAGGTATAACAGATACACAACACACAAGGGCAAAAGTAATATGGGATAATTTCAATATCAAAAACCTAGGTGAATACCATGATTTATATTTGATGACAGATGTTTATTTGCTTAGTGATGTTTTGAAAACTTTAGGGATATGTGTTTAAATTTTTATGGATTAGACCCTGCACATTACATAACATTACCTAATTATTCTTGGTCTGCCTTTTTATCTCTGACTGGTGTTAGACTTCAACAAATACATAATAAAGATATGTATGAAATGATTGAAAAAGGTCTTCGTGGCGGGATGACTCAATGTGCTCATAAAAAAGTAGAAGCAAATAATAAATACATGAATGAACAATATGACTTGTCAAAACCATCAAGTTATATAAGTTATTTAGATGCTAATAACTTGTATGGTCTGGCTATGAGTAAAAAACTACCGTTTGATAATTTCAATTGGTATTTTTCAAGGATGGATGAGAAGAAAGTATTAAGTTATAGCGATGATGATGACAAAGGCTATATTTTAGAAGTTGATTTAGAATATCCAAAAGAATTACATGATTTACATAGAGATTATCCATTAGCACCAGAAATTATGAGTGTTAGTGAGAATATGCTTTCACCAGTTCAAAAAGAAATACATAAAAAATATTATGGAAAAGATGCATCTGATGAAAAAACAAATAAACTAATATTAAATGTTATGGATAAGAAAAAGTATGTATTACATATATCAGCATTGAAGTATTATTTAGAGCATGGATTAAAACTAAAGAAAGTCCATAGGGTAATTAGTTTTAATCAAGCAGATTTCTTAAAACCATACATTGATTTCAACACCGAAAAACGAAAGAATGCTAAAACTGAATTTGAAAAAGATTTATTCAAATTATTAAATAACGCTGTATATGGAAAAACACTCGAAAACGTTCGTAATCACATTGACTTTGAATTAGTTAATACACCTGAACGCTTCCAGAATTAGTAAATAAGCCATCATACAAACATAGACACATTATAAACGAAAGTTTAGTAGGAGTAGAAAAAGAAAAGGCAACGGTAGAATTAGATAAACCTATTTATATGGGTCTATCAATTTTAGATTATTCTAAAATTCATATGTATTCTTTTTATTATGATGTATTAAAACCTAAATATAACGATAAAATAAAATTAGCATATACTGACACTGATAGTTTTATTATCCATGTTGAAACTGATGATATTTACACAGATTTTAAGCATATAAATCAACATATGGATTTTTCAGATTATCCTAAAAATCATGAATGTTATAATGCTTCTAATAAAAAAGTTCTTGGAAAATGAAGG